CGGGCAGTTAAGGCTGTGCAGGCCTTGAATGTGATAGACCCATCAAGGCCCTGTGAGCTGGATGTTCATGTAACTGAAGATGGTTATGGCTGGGGTCTCTGGCAGCAGCTTGAATGAACTCACTAACCCGCTGGATTCTGGTCACTACTCTGGAAAGGGGCAGAGGTATGATACACTTTGATAGAAAAACAACTGGCTGCTGTATATCATGCCTTGCTGGCTATAGAACCCATCACTGGAATGGCCCTAATAAAGGTAATAACCACCTATCCCATCTTGGGGTGGGTATGAAACTGGACCCAAAAGCCAAAGAGTGGTGTGGCACAAACACCCACACTGGCCAAGTGGGGTGCTTACCTACAGTAGCATAGTGCCCTCTCTAGTAGCCCACTGAGTGAAGAACTCCAATGCTTATTGGGGCTGGTGACATATACTAGTGAAAAGCAGGAAGAACTTGCTTTTGAACCATTAGTAGCAGAAAGTCCCTATCGGGAGGGAAAAGCCCCTATACCTGAAGATGCATGGTACACAGATGGCTCCCACCGTGTGCAGCCCCCAAAATGGAGGGCCATAGCTTTGCATCCTAAGACTGAGACAATATGGATGGAAGATAGTGAGGGGAAGAGCAGCCAATGGGCAGAGTTGCGGGCTGTGTGGCTTGTGATCAGCCAGGAGCCCTCTCCTATAGTTGTCTGCACTGACAGCTGGGCTGTCTATCGGGGCTTGACCCTGTGGCTACCAACCTGGTACCATGCCAACCAGCTGGTTGGTCACGGACCCTTTTGCAGGCAAGAATTGTGGCAAGACTTAGGGCCTGTGGCCAGACTAAAATAATTACAGTATACCATGTAACAGGTCATTTGCCATTGGCATCCCCAGGAAATGATGAAGCAGATAAACTGGCCCAGATACATTGGGTTAGAAGGAAAGCCTGCCTCTGATGTAGCCCAGTGGTTACATCAGCGTTTGTTGCATGTGGGGCAAAAGACAATGTGGGCTTGCCTTTGACCTTAGAAGAAGTTAGTAGAGCCCGGCAAGAGTGTGTTGTGTGCTCCAAAAGGGACTTACACCAAGTTCCACAGCAACATGGGACAATAGCTAAGGGGCCTATACCCCTTGTCAGGTGGCAGATAGACTATATTGGGTCTCTGTCTGTGTCAGAAAGATATTGGTATGCCATGACTTGTGTGGACACAGTTACTGGACTTCTGGTTGCTTTTCCTACTGGTTGTGCAGACCAGCAGATGACCAAAAGAGGCCTGGAGTGTCTCTTTGCTGCCTATGACGGACCTCAGGTAACTGAGAGTGATCAGGGCACCCATTTTACTGAACATACACTGTAAAAATGGGTGTGACAGCTGGGAACCAAATGGGAGTTTCATGTGCCATACAATCCTACCACAACAGGAATGACAGAGAGGCACTATAGCTTGTTAAAGTCCAGACTAAAGTCAGGTTCCAACAGTCTGTGGGGATGGTCAGTCTGCTTATGGACTGCGCTCCGGCATTTGAATGAGAGATCCCGAAAGGGAGCCCTGAGCCCCATAGACATGTTAACACATATGGCTGCCTCCCCTATACAACTGCAAGTACAAACCAAGAAAGAATCACTGAAGCCAAGGTTCAGCCACCAGAATAACATCTTGCTGCCAGCACCACCTGCACTGAACCCTGGAGACACAACTGAATGGATGTGGCCTTGGACCTTTCAACAAATGGACCAATGATGGCTGGCTCTCCTGGCACCTTGGGGACAAGGCCTGGAAGCTGGCCTCCTGTGTATTCCTGGACTAACAGCAGAGTGGCCCCCAAAGGTCACAGTAGTATATCCTGAATGGCTAGAAGGTAGGAGCATCTTACCGGGGATTTATCATTACGCCAGTGCATGCACCTCCAGTAGCACTATATATAGACCCTTCAGTAACCCCCATGGGGAAAGGAGTAAAAGTATGGTATACTAGACCTGGAAGGGACCCCTTTCCTGCTACAGTCCTATCACAGGACCACTCTCTTGCAGGCATCCTACCTGATGGACAAGATTTGCCTATGTTGGTGCCATTAAAACATATGTCTTATCACCCCTAAGATCTTTGTGGATTGGGAACTTCCTCTGGCTTGAGGATTATTATAATTTTTGTTATTAGGAACCTCCTTTGGCTTGAGGATTATTATAACTTTTGTAACCTGTATCAAAATGTTGTTGTATCTTAATTTTTGTTATCCTCTGTTGCTGTTGTGGAATCTGGTTACAGTGCTCCAGTAGGCAATAAGCTACTATTGCACTAAATAGAGAGCTCGGCCCAGTGCTCTGTGTGGAAGCAGAGACACTAGTGCTTGACCTACCGCCAGAAGAACAAGCCAGGTAATAAACCCTTTCAGCCCAAAGAATGTTTTGCTGTCAATTTCTTTGGTCACATTGAATCCATAGCAAACTTGCCTGGGGCTGAAACCCTTGGCAAGACATTGCTCTGACCAAAAGAATGCCACAGAAATGACACTGTATCAGTTCCAGTCCTACGCCCTAAGAGACCTGGAAGCTTCTACTTTCACTACCTTGGGATCCAGCTGTCAGGTAAAGATACCTATAAAAGGTTATAATTTAGCTACTTAACAGATAAATGGAGAGAGGGAAGCCCAGCAAGCCCTCCATCAACCCTTGCTGAGGCACCTTCATGTGGTGACACCATCTTGGATGCTCCAGCCTCAACTGATCCAAGGTGAATGTAGCCCAGCTGACACCAATAAGGTGCCACAAAAGAATCACCTTCCTGAGCCAGTCAACCCACAGAATTATAAGAAATAATAAATTATTGTTGTGTTAAGTCACAAAGTATGGGGTAGCTTCCTTCCCAGCAACAGACAGTTGATAGACTTTGTAGTACTATTTTGCTTCATTTGCCTAAGTTAGGCTCCCTTCTGTCATTTTTAGAAGTCCTAATTAGGTTACATAAAGGAAATATGATCCTTTTCTTTAAAGTCAATAGGGTGAAGCACTTTCACTCTCAGATTAAACAATTACATAACTGGTAACGAGTTGGAATAAGGCATAAGGGAATTAATAAAAAAAATACTATTTCAGAGCAATTATCTTCATGATCAGAAGTTAGTAGCATCACAAACTTCTTGTAGACAGTCTAATATATATGGTAAAAAAATCCACTGGACCCAAAATGAAGAGACTTCCGTCTGAGGCCCAAGGCCTCTAGGAATGTGATCATGTGCCTCAATTTCCTCTACTGAATGATGGAACATGAGTAGCTCTCAAGTTTGAGCACACATTAAAACTGTGGGAGCTTATTTAAAATAATGCTGATGCACGCACAGGCCCTACCAACCAACTGAATCGGCGTGTCAGAAATAGGGTCCAGTAAGAGGAAGGTAATTTCTGCCCTTCTCTCAACTTCCTTTTTCACTTTTCTCCAATAGAGTGTGATCAATTCTTTCCAAGTAAACTGACCCAAGTCTACTCTGAAGGCCTGGTCAGTTGTCCATAGTTCTTTATAATTGGCAATCTTCTGTCATTAAGACTAAATAGTTGAGCCATCCTCTTTTTTTTTCTCATTTCTTTCTTCTTCACCTGGCTCTTCCCTGTAGACATCCCTTCAGGAGTAGCTACAGCCCATGTTGACTGAAACTGGGCACAGATGGAGGTGAGGCTTGGAAAGTCTAAGCCAACCTTTCTGGCCCGGCTTTACCCAAGAGCCCTGCATAAGGGATTATAAAAGGTTATAAAATCTTGAGTCTTGTTTATGCTGTTTTTAAAAGAAGCAAAATCTCCCTCCAAAACCCAAGCGAAGAAAGAGCTATTGGCCAAGAAGAGCTCAGGCATTCCTGGGACCTGGCTGAATACGCCTTGATGTCATCAAAATCTCACAAATACTTAGACTATCTTGGATCTGTTTACTGCTCCTCTCTACAGTTCATCAAGAAGACATGAAGTTTTACTTTTGATTATCAAACTTTATGGGCTGAGATAAACATAGTAAAATATGTATACTACAGATTTTCTTCTGAAAAAAATAATTTCTCTTCTTTGGAAAAAGTCATATTAATATGTCCAGAAAGCAGAGCATATTGGGGCTCAAAATGAAATGAGGTTTATCTTAGTAAGTTTTTATGGTCAATATATATGAGTCAGAAAACATTTTGTTTCATTTATTAAACCTGACTCTGTAAGTAGGCAAAGGAGTTGAGTCTGAGGTGGGCTGGATCTTCCCTAATGGAAGAGGAAGCAGGAATGAGGGGAGAACTCTAAACGCTCTGACCCTCTGGAATGGCTGATGGCATTTCAGTCATTCCACTGCACATTACTCTAAAGCCATCCTACTCCTTTGGCTCTTGCTTAGACAAAAAGACGGGGATTGACACAGCTCAGCTATGGGTCTATAAAGATCATGAAAACTGTCATCTAAAGCCACCCTTCTCCTGAGAGGAGGAATACCTGATCTCTCCTCTCCTCTCTTCTTAAAAGCATCCATTAAAAGACCTCATTTTCTCTAAGTACTCACTGTTAAAGAATACTGAAGTCAGCCAAATCATTCTAGTGAGTTAGCAGAAACTGAAGGAGGGAGGAGAAGCTTTATAAATACAGTGAATTAGCCCAGAAATAATCCTGCAGTGGGCTACTAAGAACTAGCCCATCAGTTGTTGTTCTCCTCATGCTGATCAAGAAAAAGGTGGTTACATGCAGTCTCACAATGACCAATGAAACTAGAAGAAATCAGGTTTTCAGAATGAAGTTACCAGTTATAACCAGAGTCAAGTGGTCTCCATTGTGTATCCAGCCTGAAATTTTCTAAATTAGCTTTATTTTCTACAATGCAAGTACTACATTAGTTTCATCAAGCCAAAAATTCTGGGTTAGTTTTTTATCTTCATAAACCTATTACTGAAAAGCTGTTTTGGTTTTCCTTGCTGTATACAACATATAATTAGTTCCTAATATATAACACTTGATGATGAAAACAAATAATCAAATAATGAATTTTTTATAAAATCACCTTGGATGAAATGATAGACTCTTCCTGATCAGCATTTTTGCACTTTTTTCCTGTGTCTTGCTCTGCTGATGTACTTTCTGAACTTCCTGATGGAATTAATCGCTTTCTTCCTTGTTGTGTTATGTTTACTTGGCTTTTATCTTTGCAGACTCCTTCTTTTCCACTTCCCTGGATTACATTATCATCTTAAACACACATATAAAAAGAAAAAGAAAATTACCTCCTGTACCTACAAATGTCAATAACTCATAAAACTATGAACACTGAGAAACAGATCAAAATAATACACATTTAAAATATAAAAAATTATCAGTTCAAATTGGAGGAAAGGCTGTATTATTATAAATGATATAGAGAAAATTAGCTTTTCATTTGGAAAAAAATAATATCAGAGCACTACTTCATATCATATTTGTAAATACATTTCTATTGAACTAATAATCAATATAAAAATTCAAACTATTAAGGCATTTGAAGAAAATATGGGGACAATAGTTTTATTACTTCTGGGAGGTTTTATTAAGATGAAAGGGAACCTATAGATCTATCTAGAATAAAAACAAAAAATATTTTTAAGCAGAAGACTATAAACAAAGTCAGAGGCTGATAGCACACTGGCAAACAATATACTGGGAGATATTATCTGTCACACTTAGAAAAGATAGACAGTTTTAAATAATTGTTTATTAGTAACAAAAAAAGAAGGTCAAACAAAGAAATCTGGGACTTTGTACATGACATACTACAGAAGAATAAGTGAAAACAGCCAATAAACATATGGCTGTTCCTGGGTGTTTCATTCTTTTTTACTGGCCTAACTTACCTACTCCTATGCCAGAACTATCAACTACGAAAAGGCATCAGACCCAGATTGTGATATGGAAAGATTCTATAATGGAACAGGTATTTTCATTCCTCAAACTGTTCTTGAACAGATACAGAAACCCTCCAAATTCATTTTATACAACACTGACATAGCTTTAAGGCTAAAATCTGACATAGATGGCACATATGAAAAAAAATACTAACTAACACTTATGAATACAGCTACAAATGTCCTAAACTAAATATAAGCAAGTTTAATCTAACAGAACATATAAATAATAAGCTCAAGCGATAATCAACTTATTCAAAGAACCCAAGCATGGTACATCAGGAAATCTACTAATATCATTAATTATATTAAAACACATGAAAATGTAGGACTATTTCTACACCAAAATTTTTTCAAAGAATTCATTATTCTTTAAAAAAAAGTAAAAATAAAAATGCCAATCATACTAGATCTTGAAATACTAACAGATTTCCTGTTAAAATCAAGGACAAGACACAGATGCCAATCTTACCCATTTTTATTTAAAATTTATAGGGTCTAGCTCATTAAATAAGACAAGGAAATATTTTTTAAAGCAGTAGGTAGAAGAGCCAGAATTATCATAATTCTATAGTATGATTGCACAGCTAGAAAACTCAAGCGGCTCAGTAACTGTTAGAACTAATTATAGAATTTAGCATTGCTGGAAATAAAATATATAAATTAAATAGTACTCTAAGTAAATTTTGAACTATAGTCAAAACAATGCCAGTTCAATATTTATAGTTGCATCAAGTGGTCATACAGAACAAAATCAGAGTACAAAATTAAATGCAAACCAAATGGTTTGGAGACTACTTCAGTCTTTATCAGCATGTGCCACTTTTCATGACTCCATGTTGGAGAATTAGAAGATGGGAGAAAAAATGTACTACAGAGCAGCATGATACCTGTGAAAAGATAAAGCTCCTTTTTCAATCTAGCAAGAGTGTCATGACCTAGGAATCACATGTAGGGAAACCTTAGGCCTGGAAGGAGACAGCTGGAAGCCAAGGAGGGGAGGCTCTCAAAGCTGTTGCCCAAATATATTCACTTCCCAATCACTAAGGGACATGGAGAAATTTTAGCCCAGGCCTGAGAAACTCATGATAATGTCCAAGGGCTAGTACCTGGGGACCCAGAAAAATAAAATAAACTAGACTATACTGGTTGAAAATGAAAACGTTAGTAGCTTAATCAAATACATACACAGTAATCATTCACATACATTTAAGGATTAAACCAAGAGTTCAACTGAGAAAAGATCCAGGAGAGAATGTAATGGCTTATTAGAAGAGAAAAATAAATAAAACACACCAGAACATGTAGAGGGTAAATCTAGGTGGCTGTATGGTGATAAGGATCAGAGCATGAGTTCATAGAGTCACACAGGCTTTTATTATGTGATCTTGGATAAGTCATTTAATATCAATTAACATTACCTGTCCTGTACCTAAAGACACAGAAGGTTCCAAAATATCAAATTGGTTTCAGGTAATTTTAACAGGTAATTTAATCTATGAACAAAATACAGCACTAAAACTGCAAAAGACATAAGAAAGTAACCTATATCTAAATGAGCCTAAAATGTATGTTGGAAATCGAATTTTAAAATCTCTTGTGTTGGTCTACTGACCTGGATGACTTATTACTTAAACAAACCAGTAAGACAGTAACAATAACAATAACTACACAGCAGAAAAAGTCTAATTACTTAAACTTTTAATTGGCTGTATGTTAAGTAATAAGCTTATATTTCTAAATCTTTCTGTCATTAAAGGAATTAAGTAACCTAACCCTGGTCTTACAAGTACTCCCCCAAAATCTAAGTATATAGAAGACATGCCTTAATCCACAGACTTTTTAATCTTATTTTGAAGCTTTAGCATTTTAAGTACATTGTGTATTATATAATATTTCTGTCCATACCAATGTAAAATTACTCTTATTTGCATTTCAAGGTGAAGTGCCCAAAAAGGTGCTTCATACTTTAAATGGTACATCTATCAAGTGAAAGTTAATAGCTATTTATAATTTGAAGCAAATTATATTTTGATTATAATCAATATACTAGTGGCCACAGAAGCAGTTATAAATAGTGTAACAGAAGCAGTTATAGTATAAAACAACTCTGAGAGAAAAGGACTTATTTGCAGGAAGGCAGTTCACATTGGTCTGATTTTTGGTCAGGTATAGTTATTCTTCTGCTATTAGAGAAAGTACCCTACTGAGGGACAGTGCCTCCCCCCCTTCAGTTATCATCTCCTAATCCCTACTTTCTTCCTGCAAATTAAGGATTATCACACTTAATGAGAAATGTTACTGATAAAAATATATTAAACATGCAATAATAGGAGATGGGGGAACTAAAAACCACTGTCCTGGAATAAAACCTTGCCAGGAAATCCTAGGTGTAGATACAAAAAAAAAAAAAAAAATTTTTTCCCACAAGGTCACTCTGATCTTACTATATATAATCCTACTATATATATAGCATAAAAAGGAATATTCTGTACATAGCATATTTGGTCAAAAGCTTTAGAAGACTCTTAGAGCAGTAGCATTAGTAGTAATGGTAGTAGCATTCAACTAAATAACACATTCAATTGTGCTGCTAATTTATAGAAGAATATTCAGAATAAAATGGCAGAGTAGCTTCACTGAAATAATTATCACAAACAAAACCATTACAATTTTGGGGGAAAATATAAAAAACAGCTATTTAAAGCCATTGGAGAGTGACCAGAAAGGCAGAACTGGAGAAGAGGCTAACCTTGAAAAGTTAAGTACAAACCTGTGAGGTTTGTTAATTTGCAGCTTTTTCCCTGAGGGCACCCCCCAACTCACAGGTAGCAGAAAGCTGCAGCCTTACTGGCTTCAGTGGTCAGAAAACAAAGTTTGAGGCTAGTAGAGCAGGTAGAAAGTTAGGGACAAAATCCTGGAAGGAAGGAAGTTTCAGAAGGCCAAGAACCAAAATCTACAGGTAAACTGACCCAAATCCAGGGTTCATTGCTAAACTATAGATGGGCATGGGGGATACCCCAGGAACTCAGAGAAAAAGCAGAGCTGGAAGCCAGAAGAACTAAGTAGAGCCTGCAGCTGCTGCCCACAACAGGCAAACAGAGTTGAGGGTTAAATTAATTGCCTTTTAGAAGAAAATTGCCTATTTGTCCAAGTTATTTGTCAATTTGAACAAAAATATTTATTTAGAGTAACATAAAATCAAAAATTGCTACAATGTATCATTTTAATATCTAATATCCAATAGAAAGTCACTAAACATGAGAATAAACAGGAAAATGTGACCCATACAAAAGAAAACAAGCCGTGAATAGAAACTAAACCTGAGATGACTGAAAAGTTGCAAAGAAAATGCTAATAAGACAATGTAGTAAACACTTTAATATCTTAATTAATGGGAATACCTAGCAGATGACATAAATCATTGTGATATCTGCCATGACACTGACCTGTGCTAAGACAGAGGCCAACTCTTCTTTGAGTCCTCCAGCACATAACACTGTGTGCCTGGCACTTTTTTATGTAATTAAATTAATTTGGAACATGCTCACTGGGCTGGCCTTTTATTTTAAATATGACACCAACAGGCTTGTTTGAAAATATATGTTAATCTGATAAATTAGCACTTAAGAAAAACAGCACTTGTTAAATAAAAAAAATAATTAGCAGATGGCATTTGAAAAATGGCATAAAATAATAGCTTATATTTTAACCTAGACTTCATGTAGACATCTAAAAAAATGTTAGGCTAAGCTATACACTTAGATCACTGCTACTCTATCTCCATTTGTTCAGAACAACTTCCAAATTCTGTTTAATGTTTCCTAAAAGCCTACCTCCACTGACTGGTGCTGAAAGGTTTTGATCCCTTAGATTTTCTGTTAACATCCATGCCGGAAGGATTCTTTTCCTCTCAGCAGGGTTTGACTGCTGCTTACTGAAATCTTCACATTCACCTAGGAAAGACTAAAAAGGCACCCATATATTAATTACTAAAACTAATCATGCATCCTTATTGAAAGTGTAAAGTTATTTACTTTGCAGAAAACTACCATTTAAAAACTCCCTGCAGCTGTGGAGTGAGTAGGTCTAACCTCTCAAAGAAAGAAATGTATTATCTTTTAGTTCAAGTTGTGGACTCATGTGGTATTCTGGAGAGCTTGACTTTGAAACAGCAATGCTAGCACTATTGTCATGATACCTCTAAGTTCAGTTTTCTTTTTTCTCCTCAAAATAAGAAATATATTATAAATGGACAAGATCTTAGATTTCTCACCACGCCATTGGCAGCAGTGTCCTGAGTCTTAGCTATTTCCTCGCCTCTTTCCAGCTGTTGGGCACCAGTTGTCTCATCAGGCAAATTAACTGAGGAATATTTTGGTGTTTCATTCAATTTATCATCTTCATCAAGCATTTGACTATTTCTATAAAATAAAATAAAAATTCATTTATTAATCATTTAAATTTAAAACACTTCCATTGCCTATCATGTCATTACAAATGTGACTTGCCCAAGTACATATAAATGAGTTGTGCTCCTTTTCTCAGACTTAGCAAGACAAAACACCACATAATATACTAGAATAAAATACACAGACTAGAATATATTCATCTTCTGCCCACTGTATCAACATAAAATACTTTAATCTTTCCAAATCATGGGCCTAAAAACCACAGCTGATGAGGTGTTTAGCAGCCATTTCACTCAAGACTTAAGAGTGTTTTACTTATTCAATATTTGTCCAGATAGTCCATAAAAGTCAAGATCACCCCCAGTATCCAAAGGGAAAATGTAAGAACATCAGCTAAGTTAATTAGGCTTTTGAAGAAAAAATAAAGCCCTAAGGTCAAGTCCCACATAGCTGCTACCAGAGCTCTGGCCAATACACCACTTGAGAAATCTTCCCAAACTTGTAGACCAACTGGAAGCTAACTTCTCTGACACAGAAGCATCTGGGGTGACATGTGGAACATACTAGCAGAACCAATTACCTCCGACTTAATGCAAAGTGCAGTAAGATCATCCAAGTTGAGGGATCATTATTCCTTATGTCTGTACAGAGATGATCCAACAAATTGATCTTTTTGAAAACATGAAAATGGGGAGATGAAAATACTACTCAGAAATAAAAAGGAATGAACTATGATATATATGATATGGACGAATCTCAAGGGCATTTACTTTGCTAAGTCAAAAAAGTCGGAAACAAAAGCCTACAAATTATCTAATTCCATTTCTGTGACATTCGAAGAGGTAAAGCTACAGGGACAGAAATCAGATTAGTAGTGGCCAGGCGCTGGGAATGGAGTAAAAGGACTGACTACAAAGAGGCACTGTGGGGAAATGGAAATGTTCTATTTCTCACTATGGTAGAACTTACACAACTACATCCATTGGTCAAAGTGCACTGAATTGTACATTTAAAAGGAGTGAATTTACTGTGTGTAAATTGTTCTTTAGTAAAAGTGCATTTTTAAAAATTGAAGAGAGAAACCTATACTTTGAAAACTACAAGACATTCATGAGAGAAATTAAAGAAGCTACCAATACATGGAAACACAACCCATGCTCATGGCTAGGCAGAATTAATATTGTTAAAATGGCCATCCTGCCTAAAGCAATCTACAGATTCAATGCAATTCCTATCAAAATACCAACAGCGATCTTCAACAAACTGGAACAAATCGTTCTAAAATTCAAACGGAACCACAAAAGACCCCAAACAGCCAAGCAATCCTGAGAAGGAAGAATAAAGCTGGGGGGATTACACTCCCCAACTTCAAGCTCTACTACAAAGCCACAAAAATCAAGACAATTTGGTACTGGCACAAGAACAAAACAATAGACCAATGGAACAGACTAGAGAACCCAACCATATATGGACAATTAATATATGATAAAGGAGCTATGGACATACAATGGGGAAATGACAGCCTCTTCAACAACTGGTGTTGGCAAAACTGGGCAAAGTACATGCAAGAGAATGAAACTGGATTATTGTTTAACCCCCATACACAAAAGTAAACTCGAAATGGATCAAAGACATGAATGTAAGTCATGAAACCATAAAACTCTTAGAAGAAAACATAGGCAAAAATCTCTTGAATATAGACATGAACAACTTCCTCCTGAATGCATCTCCTCAAGCAAGGGAAACAAAAGCAAAAATGAACACATGGGACTACATCAAACTAAAAAGCTTCTGTATGGCAAAGGACACCATCAACAGAACAAAAAGGCATCCTACAGTACGGGAGAATATATTTGTAAATAACATATCTGACAAGGGGTTAACATTCAAAATTTATAAAGAACTCACATGCCTCAACACCCAAAAACCAAATAACCCAATTAAAAATTGGGCAGAGGATATGAAGAGACAATTCTCCAAAGAAGAAATTCAGATGCCAACAGGCACATGAAAAGATGCTATACATCACTAATTATCAGGGAAATGCAAATCAAAACCACAATGAGATATCACCTCACACCATTTAGGATGGCCAGTATCGAAAAGACTAAGAACAACAAATGCTGGCGAGGATGTGTAGAAAGGGGAACCCTACTACACTGCTGGTGGGAAGGTAAACTAGTTCAATCACTGTGGAAAGCAGTATGGAGGTTCTTCAAAAAACTACAAATGGAAATACCATTTGACCCAGAAATTCCACTCCTAGGAATTTACACGAAGGAAACAAGATCCCTGATTTGAAAAGACATATGCACCCCTATGTTTACCTCTACACTATTTACAATAGTTAAGATATGGAAGCAACCCAAGTGTCCATTAGTAGATGAATGGATAAAGAAGATGTGGTACATATACACAACGGAATACTATTCAGCCACAAGAAGAAAACAAATCCTACCATTTGCAACAACATGGATGGAGCTGGAGGATATTATGCTCAGTGAAATAAGCCAGGTGGAGAAAGACAAGTGCCAAACTATTTCCCTCATTTGTGGAGTATAACAACGAGGCAAAACTGAAGGAACAAAAACAGCAGCAGACTCACAGACTCCAAGAAGGGACTAGAGGAGACTCACTAGACTACCAAAGGGGAGGGGTTTGGGAGGGCAGGTGGGGAGGGAGGGAGGAGGGGATTGAGGGGTATTATGTTTAGTACACATGGTGTGGGGGATCATGGGGAAGACAGTGTAGAGCACAGAGAAGGCAAATAGTAAATATGTGGCATTTTACTACACTGATGGACAATGACTGCATTGGGGTATGGGTGGGGACTTGATAATATGGGTAAATGTAGTAACCACATTGTTTTTTCATGTGAAACCTTCATAAGAGTGTATATATCAATAATGCCTTAATTTTAAAAAGTATTCCTGGAAAAGTGTATAGGGCACAAATTACTTTTTTCTCCATCATATAAGTAATTATTTTAAATAAATATGTGCTAGCCACTAAAAAAAAAAAATGAAGAGAGACTTTAGAAATGTGTACAGTTGAGAAGATGATTAGTAGCATGTTTTGCTTTAGTGTTTGTATACAAGAATAATGTCCTTCAAAGGCAGATTTGAATTCCATATCAGCCAAAAGAAAACTTATTAGAGTAAATTACTATGAAACATCAGTTTTTGTTCATTCAATAAATATTTTTAAAACACCTTCTATGTGTCAGGCCCTGAATATGAAGACTTGAAAAATGTATGATTATCCTGTCTATGAAATCTCACTCTACCCCTAGATTAAGATCCATTTATTCACAGGATACAGATGTACTTCCAAATTAGGATTTTTCCTTAGATTTTGTAATATTTAATTTGAAAAATACTAAGAAATATTCAATAGTAGTACAATGACTTTTCATTTATAGTATTATAAGTTAGGAAGTATTACCCATTTCATTTATAGTTTATTTTCTACTGTGGTATAAATTCAAGACTAAGACATACACACCCTGTGGCCCATAGGGAATTTTTTATTCATATTTACCAAGAATAAACGCACGACAAAAATATCCAATCCCAAAAAAAATTCAAATTAACATTTAGTTCCAAAGGGGCCAAAGCACAAACTATTCTATTATACCTTTATTTAAATATCAAACACTGTCACTGTGATAGACTATTTTCATTTTATCTTCAAATACTTCTATGAGAAATCAACTATCACAGGATTTATAACATAGTGTTACCAGAATTTGTTAAGTAAAAAAATTAAAACTTGGAAATTTATCTATATATAATAAGGAAAACTGAGTTATCCTCTTTAAATAATAGCTTTATTGAGATATAATTCACATAACCATAAAAATTGTCCTGTTAAAGTATACAATTCAGTGGATTCTAGTGTATTTACAGTTTTGTGCAACAATCCCTAATATCTAATTTTAGAACACAGTCATTATCTCAAAAAAGAAACCCTGTATGCATTAGCAGTCTCTACCCATTATTCCCTCTTCCTCTAGCCTCTGGCAAGCATTAATCTACATTCTGTCTCTACAGATTTACATTTTCAGCATATTCCATGTGAATGGGACTATGCAAGTTTTTGTGTGAACAGATCTTTTCAATTCTTTTGGGTATATACCTAGGAGCAGAATTGCTGGACGACATGTAATTCTAAGTAAAATTTTGAGGAACAGGCAAAGTATGCTCCAAAGAGGCTTTATCATTTCACAACCCTACCAGCAATGTATAATTGTTTCAATTTCTCCACATCCTCACCAACACTTGTTATTACCTCTTTTTGAGTACAGCCATCCTAGTGGATGGGAAGTGGTATCTCCTTGTGGCTTTGATTTGCATTTTCCTAATGCTTATTGACGTTGAATATCTTTTCATGTTTATTGGCCATTTGGGTATCATTTTTGGAAAAATGTCTACTCAAATCCTTTATGCATTTTTTAATTGGGCTGTTTCTCTTTTTATCATTGAATCCAAGAGTTCTTTATATATTCTGCATTTAAGTCTCTTATCAGCTATGTGATTTGCCAATATTCTCTCTCAGTGGGGTGTCTTTTCACTTTCTTGATGGGGCCCTTAGAAGCACAGAAGTTTTTAATTGTTATGAAATCTACTTTACCTATTTTTTCTTTGTTTGCTTACACTTCTAGTGTTACATCTAAGAAACCACTGCCAGATCCAAGGTCACAAAAATTTACATGTTTTTTCCTAATTATTTCATAGTTTTAGCTCTTATATTTAGGTCTCTGATCCAGTTTATATGCATATTTTTTATATGGTATATGGTAGGAGTGTTACTTTATTCTATTTCATGTGGATATCCAGTTTTCCCAACACCATTTGTTGAAAGTCTATTATTTCTCCCATTTAGTTGTCTTGGCACTCTTGTTGAAAATCAACTGGCCATCATGTAAGGGTTTACGTCTGGACACTCCATTTTATTCCACTGATCTGTATGTCTTTCTTTATGCTAGTACCACACTGTCTTCATTACTGCAG